ACTGTTTCATCTGAAATGAATTGGGAATATCGACTAATGGTATTCTTCCTGAACAAAAGTGAAACACTTGTCGTAAACACAATTCTTGAATAACTGGGCAAATTAAAGAGTTCTGAACGATATCTCAAGAAGACTTCAATGAGCTGTTAAAATAATTATCATTCAAATCGGCAAAAGGATTTTGTTCATAACATTGAGATGAAAAACAGATTGTTTTTCAATGTGTACCGGAACTTTTTTGCGAAATCTGTAAATGGTATACCTACTAATTTTTTATTTAAATAGGAAGAAACCTGTATAGGCTTCTGTCACTTGAATTCAGAAACACCCAGTAGTGGTAATGATACTTATCTGAGTACTTATCACTAATCCCTACATGTTTTTTCATTGTCCAAGTTTCGTCCTTGGGTTTGAATTCAACCTACCTATCGATTGACTTTTTTTGCATTTCACGAATGGAACTCATTCGTAAACTACCTATTTTTACGCAAAATTTTGAAAATGGATGTATGATAAATCTTTAGGAAATTCCGGAATTCCTTGGGAAGTCCGGGTAATCTCTGGGAATTCCTCAGGTAGTCCCAGGAATTCCAGGTAGTCTTTGGGAATTCCTAGGAATTCCTTGGGAAGTCCCAGGAATTCCGGGTAGTCTTTAGGTAGTCCCAGGAATTCCGGGTAGTCTTTGGGAATTCCTAGGAATTCCTTGGGAAGTCCCAGGAATTCCGGGTAGTCTTTAGGTAGTCCCAGGAATTCCGGGTAATCTTTGGGAAATCCTAGGAATTCCTTGGGTAGTCCCAGGAATTCCGGGAATTCTTTCAATAAAGGAAGTCTAGTGTACCCAATTTCAGCCCGTGATTTACCCCTCGATACAAATCTAATATATTGTTTTTTTCTGTGACGGGAAAAAAGTTTGAAATTTCATCTCTGTTGACATGTTATAAAATGACACTTTTTTGACAATGACACTTCAAATTACAATTTTTTCCACGGGAAAAAAGTGAGTACTTTTTTCCCGGATACTTATACCACATATATATACACACTGTTCATGGCTCCTGTTGTGCTTTAGTCCCGGAAAAATAAGCCAATAACACCGTCTCAGAGAAAGAACTGCAAGTCCTTTCATCTTCCATTCGACTTCGCGGTTTCGTAAATTACTAAACAACCACAACATTCGTAAGAATGATAAGAATGCATGCAAAAAGGTGCCCGCAACGCATGGTGTCATTCCTGTTAAAAACTCTCAATTTCACTGCAGATTCTAAGAGAAAAACTTGCGAAAAATTTGTATCAACATGGGTATACAAACCTCGGTAGGAAGTTTCCTTCCTGTCTCGAGATTATAGCAAACCTCGACGCTTTGCGTCTCGGTTAACTAACTAATCTCACGCCAGGAATGAATCACATCCCACCTCGGTGTGTAATATACTATTATACATACTACTTGTGAGTACCTACAATTTTATGCTCAATTTGAAAATGTTACGAATATTTTAAAATTTTGTTTAGGGGCGTGGGAAATAGTAAGGGATTGATGCATTTTTCTTCCCAACTTTTTTATTTATCCCTAATAACACACTTATGTCCCATGGATATCCTTAGGACATTCAGGACGTCCATAGGACGTTCGGATTTGGTACCGTGGACGTCCATTGGACGTCTGTGGGACGCACAAATGTCCCACTTGAGGATCAACTAGGGACGTCCTTGAAGGATGTCCCTGGGACAACTATCGAATACCTAAATCCTACAGTATTCCTCATCAAGCACTTCAGAGGACATCCTTAGGACATCCATTGGACAACCTATCAGCAACGCTGAGGGATATCAATTGGATGTCCATTGGATGTCCCAGGGACGTACGAATTATTCTTGAATTTGAATTTTTCTGGGTCCCTCTAGGAAGATATTTTGCATAACTGATTAGAACATCCAGTTGAGTTGATGGTCCGTAGAAGGTCCCCAAAAAGTTTCCCAAGGATGTTCAATGGACTTACGTGAAGGACATTGACGGGGAGTACTAACTTATAGCCTACGAGCAATCATTCGTCGGCGAGGTGTAAGTTCACGTCCTCGCAGGGACAACATATTGAAAGTACCGACTGGGACGTCCATAGGACGTTATTTCTAGGACATTGAAAGAGTACAGTTCATGCACCAATTGGGAAATCCGACGGATATCCCTAAGGGACATTCGAAGGATGTCCCTAAGGGACATTTCGATTTTTATACGATCCTGGAAATATTGAGGGCGTCTGTGCAGAGATATTTGAAGCCATGTACCATCAGGGACATTTTATAGTTGTCTAGAAACGACATTATATAAGATCTGAAGTCATGCCAGAATATGTTCTACTCGGGATGGATATCCCAAAAGGGACGTTTAAAATCATATCCCATCAGAGACATGCCAAGGACGTCCTTGCATGGACATTCTACAATATGTACCACGTGGGACGTCTAAGGGATGCTATTTCTAGGACATTTGAAATGATGTACCAGCTGGGACATTCCGTGGACGTCCTTGCTCGGACATTGCATGAGATGTACGGGATGGGACGTCCCAAGGACACTTATTTTTGGTTCGGGACATTCGGACGTGAATTGTACCAAATAGGGACGTCCCTAGGACGTTGTGTGCTATTAGGGATTCAATTGTCGGCAGTTTGGCAATGAAAAATAAAAGTCTTGACATTGGTAAATGTTATTCTTATTTAGTTTCAATCGCATTCAGTGTTTTGTAGATGAATCAACTTTGAAATTTAACTGCATAACTCCTAAATTATGTGAATGTAGGTTAAGATTGAGAATAGTGCTTTTTCCTCAATGGGATTATTGTTCAATTTATCTTTATTTTTGCACCCGCGATATTTTGAATCAGAAAATTTTCAAATTGGGCATGAAAAGTTATGTAATATACAGAATCATTTGGTAATTCCTCGGGTAATTTCATCATTTACGAAGGGTTTCGAAGATATTTACAACTACCTTTCCTTCGGGCTTTAGAGCTGATGGTTATGATCTCCTATATAAGAGGCCATTTCTGAACTTATGATTATATAAACTTTTTTTTACCATTTCTCATCCTAAACTTGGCACTATGAGTAACTTTCTATGTGAATTCGGGACACCCTTCTTAAGTTTGAATTATTTCAGATCAGTTTCTTTATCGCTTGGCGCGTATGAAAGAAAATCTCTATAATGATCGAAGAACATCGTGCTGATTTCACATTGATGTTCATCATAATGAATAAGTACAGGGTGGGCAAAATTGGGCGTTTTCACCGTCTATCTCAATAACTAGAGGAGTTATCGAAAAACCGATATACATGTTCCGGGTTCGATTTTGGAGAAACCTCGAATGGCACAATCAAAATTTCGATATCTTCATTCGTTTCAGAGATACTGGGGGAAATTGAAAATTTGCCGATTTCGATTTTATTTTCTGACTACTTCACGGTGAGAGGTATCAAAAAATTTCGAACGTATATTTATACAGTATGATGCGTGGAATCCATTGGCATCATCAGAAATTTTATACAGGGTGACGTTGAAAAGATACGGCAGCCAATTATGTTTTTTCTAATGGAACACCCCGTATATTTTGGCACAGTTGAATAGTCCCAGGCGTTCTCATTACAGATATATATATATAACCCTACCTTTTCCTTCCACAATTTCAGATATATTCGCAAAAATATATTCAGTGTGTCACATTTCTTATGATTACACCCCCGTATCTTCTGTAAAAATAATTGAGGTAGGATTCAAAAATTCGCAACTTTCAGAAAGATACAAATGATACACTCATGGAGTCATGGACCAAGTGGGATCATCTCCAATGATAACACTGCTATCAACAAGCAGAATCGAGGTTGAAAATGACACTCTGTATATATTCACCAAATGTGGAAAATAAATATCATGGGGAATGTAATTTCCAGATAAATGGATATTTGGTGAGAAATAAAATGGGAAATTATTCGATTTGATATCATTGTTATCAAGACATTTGAGATACAGAAATAAGACCAATAATTTACTCAATTAGGAAATCAGTAGGTTGCGTTGAAAAATATAGCCTTATAGAAGATGTCCGAATTCCAGATACAGAACAATTTTTTTTATGGAACACCCCGTATATTTTGGCAGAGCTGGAAAGTTCCCGTTTCAATTTCAAATATATATCTTATTTATTATCTCTTTGAACGTAAAAATATTAAGGCATACTAGAAATAATGGGTAAAGTATCATATTCAGGCATTCTGCCACAAAATATTATGATTGTTAATGTTTCCATCAATTATTCTTACAGAAGATACGGGGGTTTAACCATAAGAAATGTGACACACTGAATATATTTTTGCGAATATATCTGCAATTGTGGAAGGAAAAGGTAGGGTTATATATATATTTGTAATGAGAACGCCTGGGACTATTTAACTGTGCCAAAATATACGGGGTGTTCCATTAGAAAAAACATAATTGGCTGCCGTATTTTCTCAACGTCACCCTGTATAAAATTTCTGATGATACCAATGGATTCCACGCATCATACTGTATAAATATACGCTTGAAATTTTTTGATACCTCTCACCGTAAAGTAGTCAGAAAATAAAATCGAAATCGGCAAATTTTCAATTTCCCCCTGTATCTCTAAAACGAATGAAGATATCGAAATTTTGATTGTACCATTCGAGGTTTCTCCAAAATCGAACCCGGAACATGTATATCGGTTTTTCGATAACTCCTCTAGTTATTGAGATAGACGGTGAAAACGCCCAATTTTGCCCACCCTGTACATGTTTCATAGGGTTATTCAAACATTTGGATGATGTGGCCTTATTGTACAAAATCTAAGCACATATTGTGTTAGTTTCGAACATTCATGCTTCGGAATAATGAAACAAATGAATAATATCATATATTTATGATATTTTGATTCCAACATCATCATTGAGAAGCGTTAGATGCGGCTTTACTAATGAGGTGTCACTCACATTCGGTTTGTTCAAAGAAAAGCACCTTTCCAGAAAAATTTTCGGAACAGTCACCACCATATTCAGTCTTATAATTAATCTACAAACAGGAGAATCTTCACTTATCGCACGGTATACTAACGAATTCACAGTATTATCGAAACATTCGAGTTCGAGAGTGTTCACTCATGCCTCGTAGCAGCAACTGGTCAGAATTAGGAAATAATGTTTATCTGTGTCGTAAAGATTGTATCTCCACTCCCCACATGTGCTTTATCAACTAGTTCAGAACATGATATGTTCTTTCGTCATCAATATGTGGACGAACAAGATTAATAACAAACTTTAACATTACTACCACCAGAAGATAAAACAAATGAGCGAATACTGAAAACAGTTGAAAACCGTACACCTATTTCTGGCCGGTTCGTATAGCTCTACGATAAGGTTTGTGACACTGAAGTGATTCTACTTACAGAAGCAGGTAGATACAGATATTTATTCAAAATTGAGATGAAAAGGAGATACCTATGTTTGTTATATTGAACGTTGCCCCTTCTACTAACTGTTTACCTGTTCTCGGATTCAATCACCAAGGTTGTCAGATATACAGTGCGGATCAGCCAAATGAAGTCAATTCACTCTCTTTCCAAACGAAAAGTATTTGGATTTTATTTTTTGATGCTTCATTTTGAAGTTGGGAGTATTAATTGTTTCATGGTGCCAAAATTCAGTATGGATGGAGACTGAAAAAGCCCAAAAATTTCAAAATGATTCTAATTGGGGTTATTGAGTAATCTAAATGGAAGTCTTGAAAGCACCTACATTAAAATTTGGAGTCAAATCAAATTTTTTCGTATCCTCAAAAACTATGCTAGATACAAAAATCACACACAGGATAAAAAAAATGTATTACAATAGTTCAATCTAATAAAAATATGAAACTCAGAAAAACCGGTGGTGTACAATGACAATTACCATGAATATCGATAAATTTACACACTGTGACGCCACTGGGAATATTATTTCGAATCTAATTGCACTAGAAGATGCTCCATATTACTATCAATAAAACCACAACGTTTCATTGAAATTGATGGAAAGACAATTTTTTCATGGAAATATTAATACCCTCTGTATCTCGAAAAAGAAGCAATGGGCGTGTACACCTCAGTAGAACTTTTAACTCAAACCATGTTTATAATGATCCTTTTATACATAAATAATGATTGACGACATAATTCGATCGAAACATTAACTGGAATGTTTTATTTTTGGACATAAATAATAGTACCTTCTGAAAACGGACCCTCTTATGACGTAGCTACCTCATCTCGCCATAGTTAAAACTGACACTTATCACTGTTGCCCGAGCTGTTGCCATATCATCCGAACAAAATATCCGAGAGATCGAAATCGATATTGAAATATCTTTTGATATCCACTACCCCTACTGCAGAAAAATATATTCAAGTTGTCGATTGTAGGTTGTATCATTGAAATATAAACAATGTCTAGACAACGAAATGTCTCAATCTCAAAACCATTTGCACCATTATTACAATTTCACAATAATCCAATATATTTCATAAGCGCAGCAACATTGCTTTGTTGACCCGTTTTACCCAAGTTAATATAGGTTAGAATTGCTCTTCTTCTTGTTCTTATTATCTTTGTCCCAAAAATCAACTTGCCGATTCACCAATCTTGGTGCTTTGTCAGAAATCATGTATCATTCATCTCTGTCTGGAATAGTCTTGTTTCAGTATTAGGGTTTTGACGTCACATCATCACCTCGTTTTCAGAGGTCCGAAAAATCGGGGATTTTAATAATTTTTCATAAAAGATAGGGAGCTCACAGCAAGAAACTGTTTGCGGTGGTGAGCTATAGTTTGCGTGAGTTCTATCGAATTATCAAATAAATTTTTTTTGTGATATAAGCTCATTTAGGACACTCATGTTTATGTGAACTTTATTTCCTAATATAGGTATCACAAGGAATCACCCCTTGAATTTTTTCGGTGTTAGTTAGATACACTCTGTATACTGAATATACAAAGGTGGTCCTTGTATATTCACATTCTCACTTCGTTTTTGATTTCAGATATTTAGTTATTTCTTTGAATTCAGACTTTTTCTTCGAATTCAGAGATTCTTTTCTGAATTCAGAATTTTCTCCGACATGTGAATACAGGGTGTTCCAAAAATACACGGTATATAAAATTACGCGTAGTCCTATGCATGCGAAAGATGACTGTTTCTTTTGTCAAATTTTGTAGGAAGACGTTTCGTTTCCTATACAGGGTGCAACTTCAAAAACGCCTTGAGAAACTATTTAATGTAGTGGCTTTATACGATATTTGTAATTTATTTCAACAATTTGTGTTGAATATAATAATTCCACCGACCCAATTCGTGGATTGGTTTTTCAATAATTTCAGAAGATTATTTGTCGATTGCAGGAATATTTCTGTACTGATATTGTTCCCGTGTACCTAGACACTGGCACACTGCATTACATTGTATCATATATTCAATGCCGTTGATACAAAAATAACTCATTCTGGAGCTATCTGTATGTATGGAAAATATCTATAGTGATTCCGATTCCGAAAGTACCTAATACACAATTTGCAGCTGAACATCGCCCAGCAATCAATACCTTACTAATAATTGAAAAATTGTTGGAGCTTGCCGTCAAAGATCAACTTCTTGAATTCATCACTTCAAATGGAATACTTATTGAACAACAATCAGGTTTTAGGAAATGTCACTCGTGTGAAACGGCTCTTCAGTTTTTGATATCCAAATGGAAAGTTGATATTCATAATAAGAAAATCGTCGGGGTGGTTTTCTTGGACTCACAGAGGGCATTTGAAAGTATAAATAGATATTTAACTTTTGAAGAAACTGAACAAATATGGAGTACCACAAGGATCGGTACTGGGACCATGAATTCATAAATGACATTATACATCACGTCCAAAATTGTAAGCTGAAAATTTTTGCGGGTGACACCCTACTTTACTTCTCTGGCGAAAAAGATGAGGATGTGGAAAAATTCTTGAATGTAGATCTTGAGAATAAATGCACCTGGATCTGTGACAATGGACTCAAAATTAATGTAACAAAGACGAAATTCATGATAATATCTTCGAAAGCAAATTCAAAAATGATCAAGGATAATGAAATGAAATTCAATATTCAAATAAACGGAGAAATCATTGAAGAAGTGAAAATGTTCAAGTGTTTGAAAGTGATCATTGATAATCAACTGAATTTGAACAGTCATTGTTTTTTTATCGCTTAGGGATAGAGATAGGAGGTAGGTATTGCAATTTTTTTTGAACTTTTGGAGATTAAATGTTGTTGGGAATACTTCCTCAGGCAATGAATTCCAGAGCCTAGCCGTGAATACATCAAAATGTATTCATTCATGTACAGGCTTGGTGATAAAGTATCTCTTTTCACGAAATTACCAATGTATGAGTCAATAGTTACACCTCATATTGATTATTGTGGTACTTTACTGAGTTTCTGCAAAATATCCAAAATCGTGCACTGAGAGCGATTTTGGGTTGTGAAAGACGCACACCAGTCACAACAAATATAATACTTTACTTATTTTTGTTTATAAATTGAAAAATAACATGTTATGTTCAAGATGTACATTGTCACAATACCAGAAGACAAGCAGCATATAATTTCTATATCAATTCTGGAAATATTGTCTGTGATACTTTATATACAAAAGGTCTGGTATTGTTCAAAAATTTGCCCTGTGAAATAAAAAGATGTGTGTCACCAGATAGTCTTGAAGAATTGTGTGTGTTGTTTGTGAAATAAAATTAAAGATTGACCTATTGAGGAAGGAGAAATCTGTGAATTACCCTTATTGTAAAATATATGACGAAATTCATGTGTCTGTGTCTAAGTTCTATATTTCTATGTCTTTATTTATTGACTTATTGTATTTCATTGTAGATTTAACTGTAATGAAGAGCACTGTGCTAATAAAGCTTGATATAAGTTTGATATATATCTTTATTACTATACGATACGGTGGAAACTCTGTGAAGGTGTATTATGTGATCAAAATTTAGCAGTGGAAGTGTAACTGTCCCTGAGTGTAAAAAACAATGGAGATATCTTATAAATTGATATGCTATAAGATAATGAAGTATGATGAAACTGTAAACACGATAAGAATAATTTCATAATGATGGTAACGTAAAGTTCAAGTTCAAAATAGGTATTTGTGTAATTAGATAACTAATCTATAAGGCAATCATGGGCGCTGCCACTTGAGGGCAAGGGGGAGCGGCTGCACCGGCCCCCCTAGATTTCAGTTTTTTCAGTTAAGACGCAATATAAACTTGAATAGGAAAAACATTGAATAAAATCGAAGATAATCCCAAATGTAACTTTATTAACCGTTCGGCGAACTTGACGTTTGCTCGTCGTCCACTTGAAGTGGAAATAAGTCAAAGGGATTTCAAGTTCATTTTGATGAAATGTTTTCAATTTACAGAGAACCCATCCCCTGAAATTATTACTAGCAGCATCTATGGAGACAATCATCGAATAACTATGGAAACGTTATAAGGCGCTTCATTTTAGAACATCGTTAGTATCTAGGGAGGATAGGGAGAGGAGGTAGGTAGAATTTTCTTTAATTCTTGGAGGTTCTCAATTCTGGATAATACTTCTATTGGCAAATAATTCTGAAGCTTTGCCGTTCTATAGACGAACGAGTTTGGGTAATGTGCTGTTCGACATATTTCAAGGTTGACAATGAAAGGGTGTGCTGACTGGGCCTGCTATTGCTAGTGATGGAATGATAGTAGAGATTTTTGAGGTACATTTCCCGTGGAACTAGAAGAGTGAAAGATTGCTGACTCGCGGTGTTCAAATGAAGTCAAAGTATCAGTGAGTGTGGCATCACCCACACTAGGCGGATGGCTCTTCTCTGGATGGAATCTAGAGGCATCAGCGTATGTTCGGGTGCTGAACCTCATATGTGAGAACAATATTCTGAAACTGGCAGTATCTGTGCTTTGCAGATCCTGATGAGCTGTTGGGGTGTAAAGTAAATTTTCGCACGAAATAAAAATCCGAGTTTTTGTGAAGCTAATTTCCCGATGGATAGGACATGATTTTCTCATGAAAGATTGCTGATGGAGATACCGAGCATCGATATAGTGGTCTTGGTGGAAATGATGGTACCACACATGTTATATTATTCGAACGTTCCATAAACCATTGAATTAATGTTTAAAATATATACAAAAAAGAAAATTAGCTTGCCTATACTCACCATGCAAATGCAATCTATACTGTACTATACTCTATAGTGAAGTGAACTGTCTTCTAGATCTCAGTAGTCTAGCTTTGGTTAATTTCTTATCGTTCAGAGGAAAAATTCAGTAATCAGTAAATGCAATCTACTCCCTACAGGTGAACAATACCGCAA